CAGTCTGCTGCTTTAGAAAAACAAATGTTACGGAGGAGTTACTTCGCTTTTCTGCAGACAGTAACAGGCAGTGGAATGAGTGAAGTCATAGCTAATCAAGGTAAGGAACCCAGTCTCTCAAAGGAGAGTCCTACGGTTATTCTCACATACGTTTTAGCTAACTAAATTGTTAGCCCAGTTCCTGGCAAGTACTATTAACTATCTGACAACAGGATGTCTATTGTAAGTGTATCTAAGTACTATTACAATATCTTACAATGGAAATACTGTGTTCAGCTTGCCTGACTCAAATTACCTGTTGTACAGTAATTTGGGGTTGTGAAATCCAGCTATAATAGGCATATTCTTCCTATTGATCTTTTCAGCTTCATGTGATCGCTGTGCCTGTTAGGACAAGAACAATGTATCCAGTCTTCCTGTATCATTTACTTGTCTGGTGAATTGGAGATCATACAATGCATACCAAAGTATAGCAGTGTTCATACTGCTGGGCAAGACCACTCATAGCTCCCACTACTGATTGTGTTTATTTTTGGAAGGACATATCAGTAAATCCTGTAAACTTCTATTACTGTTGCCTGATCTTGTTGTCTATGGTAGAAGGCCTCATGTGACTTAGTATATAAGGCCTCATGTGACTTAGTATATATGTAGTTACCAGGTTTTCCTCACCTTTACTGGCCAGATGCAAATTAGTTATTTTTCATGGTGGGAATTTGAAGTCGGACATCTAGTTGCTTGATACCTTAACTGATTCTTTCTGTTTAAATTCCATCAAAATGGATAGGGACTTCAGAAAGTTTAAAGTGACTCCTCTGGTAAGTGAAGCTCAGAATTCCTTTCCCCTATCCTAAAATGGTGGTAATACTGCTGAGACAGGAAAAGGTAGTGAGAGCTTTCTTGAAAGAGGGACTTGGTAGTTGTGATGGGCCAAGAAATTGTTAAAGAGATCAAACAAATCAGCATAGATGCAGCACAGAAATTTTAAATGTCTGAAAAATATCTCATCATATGCTGCAAGATAAGCTAACTGCTTCAGTGCTGCTGAGTTTTAATTAACACTTCCAAGTTAGGTAGAGAGGACAAAATTTTAACTTGTAAACAGGTCAAAGTACTGCCCTGACCTTTGTGTGTGTTAAAGGCCAGAAGAGCAATTAGAATCTCCAAACTTAAAAAAAAAAAATTAACCTAAATAAGAGTTGTCTTGCATCGTAGGGGAAACTTTCCAAAAATATTTGAGATTTGTGCAAAAAAGAGCTATTTTGAAGTTGAAGCATATCTTCCAGGTCAGTATTTATATAAAATAGTGTATGAGTACAGAAACATTTTAGGCTGTGGTTTGAAGTGACAAGTTCATTTTAATGTGTTTAAGGTGCAGAGAACGTGGAACGTGTGTTGTTCACTGTCATTCAAGGAGCGGTGGATTACCCAGATCCTATTGCACAGAAGACTTGTTTTATTATTCTTTCTAAGCTGGTGGAGCTCTGGGGTAAGAATGGCTTTCCAGAATTCCTTTCCATCTGCTACTACCCATGAAGCAATAATAGAACTAAATTTTTTTTTCTTTTCTTTTTAGGAGGTAAAGATGGACCAGTAGGTTTTGCAGACTTTGTCTACAAGCACATTGTTCCTGCATGTTTCTTAGCACCTTTGAAGCAAACGTTTGACTTAGCAGATGCCCAGACAGTACTGGTGTGTATTATGGATGGTTTTTTTGCATTAATTCCTGTGAGGCAGACTGAAGCTAACAAACCTGCAGTTGCCATGGGGTATTAATGAATGTAATCTCAGAAATAAAACCCCTTAGGTTTTGTGGGATTTTTTTTGCATTTAGGTATCTGTAGGATTAATTATTAAATATTGTGGTAGTGTATCCTGTAGTTTTCCTAGGCTCAAAATCAATTGGAGATCTAAGTATTTAACACTGACTGGCATTAGCTATAAACTAATGTTCAGTGAAAACAAATACACAAAGTTGGCTGTTCTCTCGTTCATTTTGGATTCAATTGTGCAGAAGTTTTTCTGATTTTCTGACCTGGAAGGTCAAGACTTGGCATTGTGTGAGGAGAAAATGAAGGGATAATAGCATGAACTAGCCCTTGTTTTGGGTCTCATTAGGTTCTTTAGCTTTGAATAATGAACCAGTAGACCAATGCACAGTCTAATGCTCTGTATTACATTTCAGGCTTTATCAGAATGTGCAGTGACGTTAAAAACAATTCATCTCAAAAGGGTAAGCTTCATCATACTTCATAGGGAAAAACTGTCACAGGTTTCTTTCTAGTGGTTTTATCAATTTCCAAAAGTTAGATACTTACTAGGATGAATTCCTACTGTACTGTTATATAAAATAACAGGATGATCATAATGCTGTGCATGGATACAGGGTCCAGTAGTTCTACCTCTTGATAAATTAATGCAAAATACTGACTCTTTATTAAGGAGAAAAATCTGCTCACTTTGTTGTTCTAGTTCCAGGGTAACTTATGTGAATTAGTAAAGTTGATTCACTTCCCCTTGGTAGAGCTATTCTATTATGTTTGTATTCTGCCAGCTTGTGCAGTAATCCCTTCTGAGCTGAAACTTATCTGATAAATATAGGTAAAGAAAACAAAAACTGAAGTGTTAATCAAAATGTTTGTTTCGCTCAAAGGTTTGGACATTCCATTTTATTACTGCTTAGCTCACTGCAGATTACATAGTCAATGTTACCAGAGAAGTACTGTCTTCATCTTCTCTTGGCTACTGAATTTTGCAATGGGAGTAGTATGGTAAAGCAGTAGGCGGATGCTAATACCCAATTATTTTATTTCTTCCAAATGTTAGATAGTTAATTATGGAGGCAACTCTTAATTTCACTATTTCTTACAGTTGACATATAACAAACTGTTCGGCTCTATTGTAATTCTTACTTCAGTGTAATTTTTAGTGCATTTTTCTTCTGTGTAGCAAAAGATACCAAATTGCAATAGAACCTTTAAGGCCAAGATTGAGAAATTTTTTTATTTGCTAACAGCTGAGAATAACTTAAACATTTGAAAAGCATTAATTTTCTGTGAAATGGTGATGTAGACCACCATACAGTATAGGGCTATGTTTTTTTCATCTGTAAAAAAAAAAAAGCATGAAAAAATTGTGTACTGCTTTTCTTTAGGGTCCTGAGTGCATTCAGTATCTTCAGCAAGAGTATTTGCCTTCTTTGCAAGTAGCTCCTGAGATAATCCAGGTAGGAGTTCCTAAAAAGAGTATTTGGAAAACTCTTTAATAATCATAAGTATAAAATGGGGAGAAATTGATATTTACAAAGTGAACCTCCTTTAATCTCATAGTAAAATTTACTCAGTTATTGCATATGAGAATAGGATTAATTTATCATAAGGAGTAAAGATACTGTGAGGGTACCTTGCAAAAAAAAAAAAAAAAATTCCAGTGCAGGTAACTGTCTAAACAATCTTCCTACTTTAATTCAAAGTTTAACTTGAAGGTATCCTTGTATACAGTCCTATTTCTGTCTCCTCAGCTAAAAGTGAATGAGCTATCCTAAAACTGGGGAAAAAAAAAAAAAAAAAAACCACGAAAAAACAACAAAGAAATAGTTTTTCACCCTAGAATGCATTTGGACTGTCATAGTCTTTTTCAACTTTTTATACATGACATGATTTTTTTCAGTTGTACATTAGGGAAAATACAAATGAATATCAATGGCTTTAATGTGAATGTATCTCAGGTTGTTTTGTTGCTTCATTTAATTACTACGTTGTTATTTCTTTTAGTTATTTCTTTGCTCTCTCTTACAGGAATTCTGTCAAGCACTTCAGCAGCCTGATGCTAAAGTTTTTAAAAATTACTTAAAGGTATAAAGAAATTTTTCTTTCAATAGCTTTTAGTTCCATTTCAACTTTACCATACCATTCAGTCATAGTAGTGACTTGAGGTAAAACCCAAATACTGAATTATTTAATAGTTTTCAGCTGTTGGGAATCTCCAAGTAGCAAAGCAGTTAATTGGAGAGACAGAGCAAACAACAAACCTGCATCTATAAAATTGTCACTCATTCTTAGCACCTTGCCATCTCAGTAGTTTGGTATTCTTGTGGCTTTTGTTTAATAGCTGAAAAAGCAATAATGTGATGCTATAGTTGTAGAGAGTGTCAAAACAGATAATTTTTGAGGGTGTGAGCATAAACAAATAGCACAAGTCACACCCTTACACTTAATGTGTTAAACACAAAAATGAGCTCTGTCAAACAAATCCTCTTATACCTCAAGCATTCCATGTCTTACATTTCCTTTGTTTTAACTTTTTAAAAATAATTTTTCACAGGTTTTTTTCCAGCGAGCCAAGCCCTAAGGAAAGTACTGGAATCTCATGTACCTGTTTCCATAATGCAGAAGTCTGGTTGTTAATCTATAAAAATGCTAACTCTTGTGCCATTCAAACTGGTTTTGTTTTTAAGAAATGTTGCTTTGTGCTCACATCAGTGCGTACTTTAACCTTCCGCAAAACAGAAATGCAAATTCCCCACCTGTGTCTCAGACATGAAGGTATGTGGCAACATGAAAAATTATCTGTATACACAAACTTTTATTATGTATAGGATGAGTTAAGCTTACATTGTAACACATACAGCAAGGAGATTACACTTATTTTTTAAATTAAGTGAATAAAATGTAAAAATACCTTCAGACCATAGCAATGGTTATTAAAATGTGTACATTTTTGATACGGAGTAAAATGTTTTAATAAGACATAAAATTCATTTGTTCATGTATGGTGACATGAAAATAAAACAATCAAAGTCCTTCTTGTAGATAGTCATTTTATTGAGATTGTCTTAATGATAAAATATATATATACCTCCTATAAAACAGATTGGTGTAATAAATGATTTCACTTAAAAGTAGCATCTGGTTCTATCTTTTTTTAATAAAACCAATAAAATTTGATGCAGTGAAATGTCTAAGTCTCTCTGAATCATTTTAGTGGAATTTTTAGAAGCTACAGCATTCTTTAATCTTCTGGCTGTTATATCTGAGTAGAACCTGGCAATTTTTCTGGTACTTAGGTAATAAATTATATTGCTCCCTTGCATGTGGAAGATGCTAGCAGAAAGAATTGCATTCACTGCAGAATTTTAGTAGCATCAATGGTCTATACAGTGATTTTTAGTAGAATGCTGCTACTTTTATTTTTTTCATTCTCTAACATGACAGTTTTTTATAATTGTCTCATAGGGGCAGGGGAAAGTTTGAGTCTTGCCATGCATGGGATTTATAATACTTTCCTCATGAACTAATGTACATAGTAAAAAGCTGACTTACTTCTAGTGTAATCAGATGAACATTTTTTAGACTCTGTGATGCCATGTTCGTCATTCACTTTAATTGAAAAATAGATGGGAAGGTGGGTCAGAAGCAGCATCCAGGATTAGAGTGTGGTGATATTTTGAGCATACCACCATTTTCATTTTTCACTGAGGGAGGAAAGTACCTTTACTACCTTCAATAGGACAGTATTACTTTTGTAAGATTTTGTTCCTGATTTAAATGTGTTTAATCAAAAGTTTCTTGTTACTTGATTTGTTGTATCACAGAATGAGTGCTTGTTGTGCTTTTCATATTTCCTAGTTTCACAGTGTTTCCCTCCCTTTGCTGCCATACCAATGCTCCATTTCATCTTCTCCCATAGCACTCGAAGCCTTCCCTCTCTGGCTTGGTGCATTCCAGGTGTTGCCATTCTCCTGCACCTCCCCAGCACGAAGGCTGCAGCCCTGACACTGCAGCTATGGCTGAGGATTTGCTGTCAGTCTTCTGTGTCTGTCTTGGCCTCCTCCCCCACAGTTAAGGAAGCTTTACCACACAGAGGGGACAGCTTTCAGTAGGCACATTATGAAGTAAACAATAAAGCTTTTTGGGTTTGAGTCACTATTAGTTTTCGTATGTGAATTAGGGTTTTGCCTTCTCGAGTAAGAGCAGTGCTGCTAAGAGGATGATTTAGACCCTCAGAGGAAAGTCTTTAAGCTGGCATCTGCTAGAGAGACTCCTTTTCTTCCTCAATCCCACCATCCTTCACGACTGCTGTAGGTCCCTTTGTGCCAAATCTGGAGCTCATCTGTGCCCATAATCAGCTATCCAGAAGCTGAAGCAGCAGAAACACTTCCCCCTCACAGTGTGTTGCCTGCTCTGGTGGTGGCAGGTGAGAATGGATAGAAAGCAGAGCACACCAGGTGTAGGATAGAGCTGCGTGTGGCACCCATTATGGGGGTGTGCCTCTGTTATAAACTTGTACCCTGCCCTCCCATCCATCACTGAATGAGTATCCTGTAGGATGAGTAGTCTGGATCTTCAGACAATGTAAGTTGGTTCACTTTGAAGAATTAAAAAAGGATTGTTTCCTTTTGTATGCTTTGACCATTCAATCAGCATACTGTCCTATCAGGGCTTATGCAACATGAGCTGTAAAGCAGCACTTGGGGGCTAATTTTGTATCTTTAGCCTAACATGTAATTACTGATTCTGACTACAAGCAGGTTATTTTCAAGAGTGTGAACTAGATTCTTCAGGCAGTGTTTGGATACTTTGAATACAATATGAAAACTACTCAAGCACATGGTAACTCTCGGGGATGGTCTTGTGCAGAGCCAGAAGTTGTAACCCAAGGATCCTTGGTAGGCCCCTTCCAACTCAGCACATTCTATGACTCTGTGATATTTCTTGTGGGATAGAAGGGGAATAAGAGATAAATGAGAGCACTCCATGGAGAGACTGGTTTGACAATCACAATTTATCCTTTTCCAGACAAACTAAAAATTTCATTTAAATGCTGCACCAAACACAACCACCTGCAGCTTTCCTGAATGACTTAACAATGTTGTTGTCAAAATGGTCCTGTATCTAGACTGAAGGTGTTTAAAATCATCATCATGGTGGTAACTCCTCTAGTGTATAAGGCAAATTTCCTCTTGTAAGGAGTGTTTAAATGAGAAACACAACTGCAAGTCATAATTAAAGATGAGGCACCTTTTCTAGAGAGATGGTACCTTTCATTTACAAGCTGGTGTAATGACTAAAGACTGATAAGCTTTCAGGCCTATGCAGCTACAGACTGCTGAATTTGTGAACATGAATGAGAATCCAAATACAAGAGAGGTGAGGAATACTAAAAGTTTTACTCATATGTTAAAAAGAAATGGGAGCAAGTAAAGAAAAAAAAAATCTAGAATGAAACTGCAATGGCAGTTTCTTTTTTTGTGTCTGTTTTCTCCTATTCTTAAATTGGGCATGATGTTTTGAAAGATGCAAGGACAGAACACAAATGTAATAGGGAACTATCCCCACTACAATATATAGCATTATAAAGCAAAGTTCAGATGCCAACAAATGGGGAACATTAATTTAGCATTTATATTAAGACCATAAATACATCAATGTATCCATTTCACTATGGAGAACTTGGGAAAAACCTTAGTGCGTTGTAACCAATTTTTCAGTTTCACTACGGAGAAGTTTGAAAATACTTTAGTGCCCTGTAACAAGTGAAGCAGAGAAAGTCTGAACTTTTGATAAAACTAATGAAAGGTAAGACTGTAACAACAAAGAAAGCCTGGGAGCACGAGGCTGCTGTCAGCTCCTCAAGAGAACAGGCTTCCAAGATTTGGGAAGATGGCAACTCCAAAAAGGAAATACAGAGCATCAAAAGAGGGATCGTCTCGGAAGGGAAAAAAAAAAAATCTTTTCACAATTTTCTCACTATAATTATGATCAGATTACATGACGCATAAATTATAACAATATTTCATTATACAGGTCATTTACTGGAACAGCAACATTACCGAACAGACAAAAAAACACACAGCAAGGGATAAATCAGCCGAGAACTTTGGTTTAAAACATACCAGTAACAACTGAGCGGCAGCAGGGATGTGAAAACTGCCACGATTTCGTGAGGTTTTAACGGGGTGAAAGAGAGAGAAATTACACGGAGGGGAAGACATTTCTGCCGGCTGTTCCCGGAGCCCGCCGTGGGGAGGCGGGGGTCCCACGCCTCCGGCTCAGCGCTCGGAGCGGGCAGAGGCAGCTCTGTCAGGGGAGCCGAGAAAGCCAAACCTCCGCCGGACCGATTACGCAGCAAAAAAATCACCAAGGCACTCTCCCCGGAAACGCTCCGAGCCCGTTGGGAACACCGCGCCAGCGAAAGCACCCGGAGTGACCACTTTTATCCAACACCCCGCTCCCACTTTCCCATGTTTCACAGATATCTTCCTGTCTCGCGGTCCACGGCCTCGAGGCCGGGCGGCCCAGCCTCGGCCCCAAGGCGCGGGGACCCCGCACAGGCCCCTCCGGGCGCGGAGGACGCGGCGGCCGCGTCGCCCGGGCGGTGCCTGGCCCGCTCCGCCTCCCCGCGCCGCGGCAGGAAGCCGGAAGCGGCCGGGGCGCTGGGCAGGCCGGCGGGAGGCGGCTGGTGCGTGGGACTGCGGGGCTGGGCAGGGCGGGCTCGGGGGTGGCCGCGGAGGGCCGGGCCGAACCGAGGTGGGCTGCGCCGGCCGCGTGCCCTCGCCGCCACCGCGCTGGTGCCGAGGGGAGGCGGCAGCCGCCGGGCGCGATGGTTTCGGCTTGCCGGGGCGGCGGCGGGGCCTTCGCGGGAGCTGCCGGGTCGCGGGCGGCGGCGGCGCGCCCCGAGGTAGCGGCGGACCCGGCCGTGCAGTGGCCGGGACGAGGCGCGGCCGGGCCGTGGCCTCTGCGGCGTGCCGGGGGCCCGGCCCTTGCCCCGGTCTCGGTGACTTCTGTCCCCGTGAATGTGACTCGGGAAGCGCTGTCGCCTTCGTGGCTGTAGGAGTTGTTAAAGTTTGTCGTCCTGCTGTGGCGATGAGCCCCGGTGCTGTGCCTGCCCCCTCCCCGCCGAGAGGAGGACGTGGCCCTCCGCAGCTTTCCAGGAGCTGCAGTCCCAGCCAGGCCGAGTCCTCTACCTGCATTACGGATTGGACAATCCTAGAGTAGGGGTGATGAGCAGCACTGGAGCCAGGCTTGCCGTTTGATTTGTGTGCCTTTGGAAGAATGTTAGGGTTCAAGCAGCACCTTGTGTGGCCAAGGGCAGGGTATTTCCATGGCTGAGATGCCAGCTGTTGCACTGGAAACCCCCTAAGGAGGTTACAGCTGAAGAAAGCAGGGGTAGAAAGCCGGAGTTTCAGGTGTAAAAGCTTATTTTCTAACCCTTGAGAGAGAGCATACAGGGAAGTATAAAAGGTTAATAGTTAACAGACTGTGAATAACATTTATTTGGAACCTCAGCACCTTGTCTGTTGGCTTTGGTGGCATATAGGATCTTGCCTGTAAACAGCAAAGAGCCATCACTTAAACTTCATCATCTTCATCTTCACCTGCTTGCCTGGTGAAGTTGTATATTGCAGCTGTCAACAGGGGAGCCATCCCTGCTTTGTGTGCTTATCCTGTGTGCCTGAGGTAGCAGAAAATTCCTTCATATGAGTTAGGAGCAGTCAGTACTGCTGCTTCAAAGCATTGGGAGTTAAAAAAAAACTGCATTAGCAATGCAGTCTTTTTTTATTACGATCTCTTCTGCTGATAGATTGAAAGAGTAATAGCATGACCAGAAGCAGAAAAATCTTCAATAAAAAACATCTAAAAAGCAGCCCTCAAGCCCCTGAAATGCTAATGAGTCATGGGGGATAATAAACTGCTAGCTGGAGAGATTTCTCTAGGTGTATGTGAGGAGCTTTTGACTCATCTAATACCAAACTTAGTGACCATAAGTGAAATGTGAAGAAATAGCAAGTTCAGCATTAAGTCTATTGACAAGGTCACTCATACAGTTAGAGCCTTTTACATTTTTTTTTTTACTATCATTATTATTATTATTTTAATAGGAAACCCTTAGTAACTTGATTTAGAAATATAGTGGGAGAAATGAAAACTTGAGATGCTGAGTATTTAGCAAAGATCAGTTATGACTGTCAGAGAACACAAAGTATTAAAGGAGGCCTAACATGTTATTCGATCTAATTATTATAATTTGAAGGCTAAAACTGAATGAGACTTTATACCTTAAAAGTGAAGACTGCCAAAAAGAGTGCACTCTTTTAACAAAAAAAGGGTAATAGTGCAATACTGACTTTGTTTTGCCAAGTAATATGTACCCTGGGATTAATATTGTTATATTTATATCTATATTTTGTTTTAAGAGTGAAAAAGCCCCAGACGTTGAGAATCCATTAAATTACTTTCTGGTCTGGGGTTATTCTTAATATCCACTGAATGATACTGAAGATCATCTGTTGCAGTCATGTTCTTTTGTTTTTTCATCTATTGACCTTTATGCATATTTAATTATGGATTAATACTAGAGCTGATCTTATACAGAAGCTATTTCATCTTTATTATTTTGGGAAATGTAATTGTTCAGTCTATTAATGGGCTGCTAAATTTTGTTTTTATTTGAATAGATTTCGATGAAGAATTTCTGTGCACTTTCTGTCTGATTAGAAAGGATTTGTTATATTTCTGTGTCTTGCTAGGAGTCCATGAATGTTGTTTTGAAGTAAATCACAAAATACACAAAACACATGCTTACTGGTAATGTTCCAGCTGGCCTGGTAGAAGCAGGAGTTTAATTATGAGAGGAGTGTTTTAACTTGAGATTTTACAGATGGTTTACAGAGCAGGCTGTGTGTTATTTCTTTGCATCCTCTCTTCCGTACCTTCTGTCTGCACTGTAGATAGCTCATTGGCATCTACAGTAATTGCCCCATGGGAGAAGTCAACTTATGCTATGTCAGAGTTAACCAAGAATTGTCAAGGTTGGGAATGTGGAGTTAGGGGTTTTTTTTGTTGTCTAGATTTGACATAAAACCTTTTGTCCCTTCCAGAGGCATTAAGAACTTTGTCAAATTTTGCAGATGGCATTGCTGCGTGACTCTCAATTAACTGCGGAGCAATGTCAGGTCTTTGCTTTGTGTCTTTGCATTCTGTACGCTGCATGCCATTGCTTGGATGTTTTGGGACAGCTTTACAAGAAGCTTCCCATGTCACATGAGCGAACAGCTAAAGGCAAGTGCGCAATCTGCAGTCGCTACAGGTAGAGCAGCGCGCTCAGAGGCTCCTGTGTCCCCTGTGCTCCAGGGAGCTCTCAGAAAGTGCCACCCGCCTTCTGGTAACAGATACAGGAAATTCTGTCGTGCCTCTTCTTCAACATTTACAGAAAAGGCTTCTTTCTTTGAGTATCAGTCAGCAGTTTCCTGTCAGGTATCACATGCAGTAACATGCAGCGTCCCCTGCCAAGCTGAGCAAAGACCTCTGCTGTAGGAACTTCCCTGGTCCAGTTGCCATTTTGCTCTTGAGATTCTTTAGGTTTTGGGAGCTTAATTTTTGATTTTAGAGCTTTTTGCTAGGTTTAATGGCAAAATCAGTGTGTTAATTAAACCAAAAAGTTAAGGGTATTCACCTGCAGCTCCTGCTGTTTTGGCAAACAGGAAAATCTGGCAGTTCTAATGTTCTAATTTTTGTTAATAATTTTAATTTAGTCAAACTTTTTTTCCGCTTTCTTTTGAATCTGTGAAGGCCTGAGTATTTGGCAATTCATATTTCAGGAAGGGTGGGGAAATTCCATAGATACGACATACCCAATAAGAAATTTCAGAAATGAGAGAAACGTCCCTTAATTTTTTTCAGTAGTAATTGCTGGTTCTAGCTAGTGGATGAAAATGCTTCCATCGATCATAGCTTTTTTGGAGCTCCTGTAAAAGTAGTTTTTTATGTGCTGTTAGTCCAGCTCCTTTACAGTCCTACTGAAATGCATCTTCCAGAGCCAAAGTGATGTAAAATATCTGTATGCATATCTGACATCATCTCTAATGTTTGTTGTTTGGCATATGTACAGAATAATGGAATTCAGTTACAGGTCTTGCTTAACCTTTAGAAGACCTTGTGCACGTGTTTTTGCCTCTTTTCTATATATTTTGTTACTTGATCATTTCAACACCATGTACAACAATAAAGAGATTATGAGATTTTCACCTTTCCAGTTGGTCTTTGAAACAAAGTTTAGGGAATACAGACCTTAAATTCAGAAAGGTGTTGTGTCAGTGGCATTACTTTTGATTGTTTGGCTTATTTTTGTTTCCATGTTTCACCTCTTATTTCTCTCCTTGGTTGTTCTTCATTCTCCATGTCTTCGGAGTTAGAGTTGGGGTTTGGACATTTATATTTCCTTCTAATTTAAATTACTCTCTTTCATGTATTTTACTAAATTGTAATTCAGTGTATTGAACCTTCTGTTTTTAAGGTGAAAAAGAAAACTCTCTGATCAAAGAGCAAAGATGCAGAGCACTTCAAATTACCTCTGGCTGTTGTCTGACATTCTGGGGCAGGGAGCGACTGCAAATGTTTTCCGGGGGCGACAGAAGGTTTGTGAGGAATTTTCATATGCAAGTAGCATCACGAAATCAACAAAAAAGTTCAAGATTTAGGCCTAAAACAAATGTGTCTGTGTAATTATTTATGCTTAGTTTTTAATTTTTAATATTTGTCCATTGAACTAGAGTTCTGTAGTTAGATTTCTAAGGATTTGTTCTTAATATTGTATTATTTTTCCTTGTAAAGTATTAACTGTTAGTAATTCTTCATTCCTTTTTCTTCATTTTTATGGAAAAAAAGAAACCTTATTCAAGAATTTGAATAGAAGCAAATGACCTGCCAGTTTCTATTACATGATCCTATTATATATATCTTTGTTAAACTGTCCTTTCATTGGTTTTTATCTGTTCTTTTAAAACCTGTTTTGGTGATTTTTATGATAGTTTTATGTGAAATATTGTTATTGTAGTGGATGAAGCTGTTGTTAGTTGTTGTCTGTAAGTCAATGCTTTTTAAATGTCTTCTTAGTGACGTGCCTTGATTAATCAGTGCAAAATGGTAATTTTTTTGCTGTGAAAATGATATGCCGATGTGTATGTTGCAACCTGGGTGAGGGGCTAAGAGGACTTTACTGTTGTAGTCATTTCTTCCTATAAATTTCACAGTAAGTGAAATTTCACACACACTGTCATTACTGTAAGGCAACTTTCACAACTATACTTATATTTGCTTTGTTAGCAAAGATCAGAAATCAAAGATAAGTTGTGAAAGTTGCCTTACAGTAATGATAGTCTTTGTGAAATCAGTACAAAGTGATTTGTAAGATAAAGTGTTTCTGTGTTCCACATTTAAGTGTGAAACAGCATTAAGCAACAGTTTGGCAGTTAGTGTGCTTTTCTGGTAAGTGAATTTCAGCACAGAATGATTCCCCTGTAAGCCATGGCTGCACCTGTCATCACCCTCATAGTGTGAGCCTGTGACCTGCAGCTCATTGTCAACGGAGAAAGCTTTTACCTGGGCACCAGTAGTGCATGTGAGTGCACACCTTGTCTTTGCACAGGAAGGCTGTGTCCTTAGAAATAGTATGGTGCACAAACTGCTAGTGCAAGCTTATTCCTAGAGTGGACACGGGAAGGTGCTTTGCCCTGAAGAGGGACAGGAGTTGCACTTCCAGCTTGTGCTGTTGTTGCCTATGTTGGGGCTTAGTCCCTCTGGAGAGCTTAAATCTGATTAAGCTCACGATTGTGCTCCTGACACTTACTATGTGGGTTTGAACTGCTTCAGGATTTTACATGAGTGGCATGTAGTGCTCGGAACTGCCTTTGAAAAAACAAAATACTGGTTTATCAGTATAAACAAAACAATAAAGAAAGAGAGAGCAACATTCAGCTACCGGAAATTGTCTTTTAACTTAAGCAAGCCAAGTATGTGCCTGCCTCTCACTGATCAGTGCAAGTAACTTTTGCTGAAAAAATATTTTTCAGCTAAGTTTAGGATTAATTTTTAAATGTGTAGCCTTTGTTATACTAACAGTTCTCTTTTTTTAAGAGCTCTTTATGTTTTGTGACCTAATGATTTTCCATTCAGCTAGTCTGTTTGCTTTTAGGCTATATTAAACTAATGCAATTTTATTTTTTTAGCAGAATCTTTATTTCCACCTTAGCACAAAGTAGTATTTTGAAGTATTTCTAGTCTGATTATACTCACATGTGCAATAGAAAATCTGAAAATGCTTGGATAATGTCTATGTGTACGTTTACAATTTTTTGCTTCTGTTTGATGAGTGGTTTGTTTGTTTTCAACAGAAAACTGGGGATTTATATGCTGTCAAAGTATTTAACAGTATAAGTTTCCTTCGTCCTGTGGATGTTCAGATGCGAGAATTTGAAGTATTGAAGAAACTAAATCATAAGAACATTGTCAAATTGTTTGCCATTGAGGAAGAGGTAATTGTGTTTGTGATCTGAGATGCAAGGGAGTAACTGCAGTAACTGGTTTTTTGTTTTATCCACAGCTGTAAAGTGTATAGTTGCATTTTTAAAGAATGGTAACATACATGATGATACAAATACTCCCACTCAACCACCACCATATTTTGGTTTTCTTTCTTCTTTGTTGTTGTTGTTGCTGTAAGAAAGAATATGATTGCTTTCAGTGGGTGAAACATCTTCAGTGTGTAAGCTCAAGTATATCTCGAGAAGCCACTGTCCTAAGTTTTATCTTGAATTAGGATTTTTAAGGTATTTACATGTATTAATATTTAATAGATGAATAATGGAACTGTTTATAGTTGAAGGTGTTTCGGTAGTGCTGACAATTTTATGCTTTTCCTTTGCAACCAACTAAAATTATGACATAGTATACTATTATACAGTAGTATAATAGTATAAATTGGAGCAACTGAACTGAACTGAAACTGATGAGTTGAAATGACTGAGATGAGTAAAGAGTAAAGAAGGACAGTTTGTATTCTCAGCACTAGTGGTGCGACTTGTCCACCTGTCAGTAATGCTGTCAACCTGCTAGTGAGTAGAACTTGAGGCTTTCTTAGTTATTTTCCCCTCTCCAAGTTAGTTATTTTCCCCTCTCCATATTGTTTATATGAAACAATATAAAAATCCACCTGCACTTCTTTTGAAGATCACCAGAATGGAAATTATGATATAACTATAGATTTTACTTTTCTTTTTTGAAAGTAAGATCTTAGGTAATTTCTGACATTGCTGTCACAATAGTCAGATTCTTAATCTCTTTTTGATTTTTTTTTTCAGACAACTACTAGACACAAAGTACTAGTTATGGAATTTTGTCCCTGTGGGAGTTTGTACACAGTTTTAGAGGAGCCGTCTAATGCCTTTGGTTTGCCAGAGTCTGAGTTCTTAATTGTTTTGAGAGATGTGGGTATGTAGACTTAGCTCTTTGGTCTAATTTGTTGACTGAAGCAATCTCATACTTGTTTTGTTTATCTTGAAACAGCAAGAGACAAATTTAAATGACTGTCAACTAATTGAAGAGATTAATATGGTCATATGGAATCACATATTTATATTTATGTTGGTACAGGTATCTGCATTAAGAAGCCATTTTTGTGTAAAGTATTGATGCATTTTTTTCTTTATTTTGAGATTACTTTTCACATGTTGAACAGACTTCCAGTGATAATTTCAGAAGAGTTAATTAGAAAAATAATATGGTTTACCTGTGATTACCTACTATAAAATTTACTTTATGGGAAAGACGTTACTGAGAGCAAGAAATGCTGTAATTTAGCTGTTTGGAAAGAAAAAACAGCAATATGTGGTCATGGTCTTCCTGTTAATTGTGTGTCCCTTCTCATTCCCATTTCCCAATAAGAACATAAGTGTGTTTTCCTAGTATCAGTTACAATTCAGTGTTTGCACAGTGTCACAATGTGTACATAAATTCTGTATTTGTTTTTTGAAGTGGCTGGGATGAATCATCTCCGTGAGAATGGAATAGTGCACCGTGACATCAAGCCAGGCAATATAATGCGTGTTATAGGTGAAGATGGGCAGTCTGTTTACAAGCTTACAGATTTTGGTGCAGCAAGAGAACTTGAAGATGATGAACAATTTGTTTCTCTCTATGGCACAGAAGAGTATTTAGTAAGCCCATATGATTTAATTTTCTGTTGGAGAAATGTTTGAAGCTTGAGGCCGTTTATGATTACAGTTGAATAGGTCAAGGTCAGGTTGTTGGGAATTAGTATATAAACCTTTGTATTGCAGTTGTTTGTGTAACTTTCCACTGGACTTTTTCATCATGGATCATGCCATGCATGATGTAAATACATCAGCCTTGAAATAATTTCCAGGTCCAGCTTTAACTGTTGCTGTGTGTAAAAGGAGGAACAACAATATTTTAGTTAGGAATATATTTGCTTTTATCTCTGTAGATGTGTTTTAGTTTGTGTTTGAGCTACTTGGATGACGTTAGGTGTAGTTAAGATTCATGTGAAAACTTGGCTAACCAAAGAGAGGCAAGTAGAGAAGTATCAAGACAAGCACCTTAGTATGATTTTCTTCCTGCCATGTTTTCCCATGTGTGAATCACAGCTGATACTCTCCTCTGCTGTGGATCTTTTTTCCATTTGGTTTCTGTTGTTTCAACATCATCAGGGGGAATACTGAATTTCTTCTCTTTTTTTAGTTGTCTTTTATACTAGTACTCACTCTTGAGCTGAATTTTAAAATATTTATTGCAAACTTTTTAATAAAAGCAGCAGTCATACCTAGGAATATAGTGATGTTTGTCAGAATAGCTTAAGCAACTTCTGTGATACAAGCAAGCTTTTCTTTTTTAAAGAACTGAAAGTTTAGACTGACAGATTACCTTTCTGTGAAAGGATAGATTGGGTTTTTTCTTTATAAAGCTTCATAAAGCAATTGTAACTTTTATTTTCTCTTTAGCATCCTGATATGTATGAGCGAGCAGTTTTGAGAAAAGAACATCAGAAGAAGTACGGAGCAACAGTTGATCTGTGGAGCATAGGGGTGACCTTTTACCATGCTGCAACAGGGAGTTTGCCTTTCCGACCTTTTGAAGGACCTCGGAGAAACAAGGAAGTGATGTAGGTAATTTAGAAGGAGAATTTTAACTGTTGGTAAATTAAATCAGCCCTTGAAATGCTTTTTACCAAGGAATCCTACACACATATAGAAAAACTTCTAAACAGTGAAAATATTAAAGGAAAAACACTCCCTTGTTGTGGTATAGCCCCAGTAGGCAGCTGAACATTACACAGCTCTTCACTCACTTCTCTGTAGTGGGATGGGGGAGAGAACTGTAAGGGTGAAAGTGCAAAAACTCATAGGTTGAGTTAAAGACAGTTTAATAAGTAAAAAAACCTCCACAACAAACAGCAGCCTTTGCCTCTTAAACCCAAAGGGAAACAAAACCAAGGAACACAAGTAATGCAGAAATATCCCGAGTTGCTCACAAGCAGCCAACTGATGCACAATCAGTCCCTGACGAAATGCTACCCTGAAAAATTCTTCCCCACCTCAGCTTCTGTTGTTGATCAATATGGTGTGGAATATCCCTTAGGTCAGATGTCCTCCTGTATCCCCTTCAAACTTCTTGCCTGCCCCCAGCCTACTTGCTGTTAGGGCAGTAGAAAAGTAGAAGAGGCCATGATGCTGTGTAAGCGCTGCTCAGCAATGGCTAAACATGCCTGTGTTATTGGCACTGTTTTGGTCACAAATCTAAAACATAGTACCATACATTACAGTGAAGGAACTTAACTCTATCCCAGCCAAAATCAATAGAAGCATTCTGCTTCAACAAGGATTTTACTGTGTGGCACCTTAAGATCTGAATTAAGCATTTAAATTGAGAAAGACCTGAATTGAGCTCCCCCAAAATATTGGTGTTTTTCCGCAAATCTTTCTTTCAGCATGGCACTAGGCTGGTCTGTTGCAGTGCCATTTATGTAACTTGGATACTCAGGCAAAATTATGATATTCTGCAATGGGGTTTCAGTGCTGCAAATTTTTGTTTTCATTTAAATGATGGTCTTACCCAGCAGTCTTGAAATGAGTGCACTACCAATGAGACTGACATTTGAGTAGTACAATTGTGGACTGCAGCTGCAGAAAAAAGGGATGGCTCCTGAATGGAAAACAGAAGATATGCCTGTGATGTCATGGTTGTATTCGATTCCTGTTTCATCTTAATCTGGTTCTATTTTGTTTTCTCTGTGTTGCATGTTAAGAATTAAGCAAGGTGGTGCTTGGAATCTTTAACACGTCGGTACCATCTCTGTTCCGATGCTCTGTGTAAAACTGACTCCAGTTTTCTTAGTTGAAGAAATTTTCCATTTTGTGATGTTTTTCTTGTTGTAGCTGCTTGAGAGATGTTTTGTATGCATCTTGTCCTCCAGAAAAAGAAAGCACAACTGAAATATTCTGTTGCAAAAAGTCTATTGATATTCATTTGTTTCATGAAAAATTTGAGAAATACTTGCCTGTGCAATAAAAAGTTAAACAATGCCAAATTGTTCCAGATTTCTGGATGTTCCTTCTCTATGCCCAGGCCACTTTGTGGTGGCTAAATGTTTTCTATTGCTGTGGAACATGCTTGAAGTTAGCATGTTAATGTGTAAATGAACTAAATTGACTTGGACTAATCAACTCTTGTGAAAACCTTTGGTTTCCTTCAGTATGCTGGAAATATCTCCAGAAGTTTTCCCCAAGGCTGAGGTAGACCAAGTTGCTTCTCCAGCATAGCTTTTTGTTCTTTACTCTTTTAGCACAGCTCTGTCAGCTTGTAAGTGAAGCTTCCTAATTTTTGTACCATCTACAAATTTAGGCCAACCTGTCATTTAAATTTGCATTTTTGCTGCCCCTTTGAGGATTAATTACTCGACCTATATATGTATAAGAGGTAGTAGTTGAAGTTTCCGTTATTTTTGTAATGTATTGCAGGTATAAAATAATCACTGGAAAGCCTTCTGGTGCTATTTCTGGAATACAGAAAGCAGAAAATGGACCTATTGAGTGGAGTTGGGAGATGCCCGTTTCTTGTAGCCTTTCAAAGTAAGTTTGAACTTACAGATGTTCACAAAATGTTTCAATACCACTTCATTGGGCTTTTCCAGTTATTTTCTGAGATTGTGTCTTTGGAGCAGAGATTTGACACAGTTTTTTCTTTGAACTGTTCAGTACATCAGTACAGTCTGACATTTGGTTATCAAGTGGTTTTTTTCTTCTCATCTGTCCAAATAATTTTGTGATTGCTAATTTACAAATGAGCACATCTGATGTGATTTAAGAAGAAATACTATTACTGCATTTTTTCACCCTCAGGAATGAAGAATTAATAACTTTGATGGCCCTCATTTCTTGCAAGAATGTGACTTGAGACATGACAAAGTTTAGGCAGTAGGAAGGAAATGATAAGCAAAGACAATTCAGAGGCTTACTTTTTGCTAGGAAAAAGGTCACATCAGTGCATTTTAACACATACTTGTATCTTTTCAATTTTATCATCATATTTTTGCTTCATATGCCTGTAATATTCAGTAGGAAGAGCTATGGAAGATCTGATTTTGATATGAGTTTGAAAACACCTACCATAACCCATTTACCCATTTTTCTTCCTGAGACTTCTTCTGTACTTTGAAGTTACTAATCTTTTGTGGTAAAGGAGGAAATAAATTGTTCTCTGAACAGACTGTAGAAGCAAACTTTTTTGAAATACTAATATGTACATCCTTAAGGGGTGTAGAGTCAAAGTCTGGTTTATATGAATTCATTAGTTTAGAATATGCAGAATTTGCAATTTCATGATACTGCTCATTTGTTCCTCTGCTTATTCTGTACAATTTAACTGCTTGAAATGATAAAGGAAGCAGATTTTTTTCTCATTAAATGTCTCCTCATAATAATCCTTTTAAGTAGTATTCAAGGAGTATTCAGTGTTAGAAGTTTAGTACTAAAGTGAGTTTGAGCACAGCATCCACTGACCTCTAATGCAGTCAGCAGTGTGCTTGCAAGCCACTGCAGCTTGCTCCAGAATGTTACCAGTTCTACTGCTAGATTCAGGCTTGATGTGTACATAATGTTAAAATTTTGGAGTTGTTCATGGTAACACACAAGTGGGATACATAAAGTTCCTTACCATTCAGATGCTCAACGAAGAAATGCAAGAAATTTAAGCTGACCTTTCTCTTAGAATAGTAATAACTGTAAGGCAATGGGTAGCACAGGTTTTTTTTCAGCATTGAAGCTGCATGTGCAGAGTACTTATTTAGCCCCATCTCAATCAGGATGAATTCTTAGTGTTGACAGTTTAAATAATGAGTCTTTGCTAATCCAGCTGATTTTGATTTGAAAGAAACATAGTGTGCTCACGCAAGCATCACCACCAGCAAATCCTAAATGGCAGTATCTTCCTTCAAAGTGATACACTATGGTGTGTGGGGTGAGCTGGGTAAAATGTGACTGGGGTGGTAGAATGTGGCCTCAGCTCTACAATGTAGACTTAGTAAATTTTATGTGATTTTTGCAGTGTGAGTGAAATTTCTCAAATACCAAAAAAAAAAAGTACTTGATAGTTAAGCCTGAAAAGGAAAGGTTTAAAGTACATGTATTACTGAAAAGCAATGGACATTGACCTTGAACATTTTGTTGCTCAGTGTAGGAAAAAAGGCACTGACATATTCTTTAAGGGATAATAGATGTGTATACATGAGACAAGTCAAATGAATTATTGCAATTGGTTGCAAGATAAAACGTTCCAAGTAGAACCAAGTTGTCTCATCTCTTCCTGGTGTCCTCTAGGGGTCTGCAAGTACTGCTCACACCTGTCCTTGCGAATATTCTTGAAGCAGACCAGGAAAAATGCTGGGGATTTGACCAGTTTTTTGCAGAGACGAGTGACGTACTGCACCGAATAATAATCCACATCTTTTCATTTCAGCAGATGACCTTGCACAAAGTTTATATTCACAACTATAATACGTAAGTGTTCTCTCTCTCTATTTGCATTACTTTAGTCTTGTTCAGGCTAACAGCACTGTGACCAGATCACCAGTTATAAATTCAGTAACCTGTGACCTCATGTCACCAGTGTTACAAATTCAGCAACCTCTCCTTGGCAGTTTATCTGAGGAAGTAAAAGGGCGCAGTTCTCCTGCATAGTCATAGTGCATATGGAAACATGTTGACCAAAAATAAAAATAATGTCCTCAAGCATACAAAATGCACACATTCTCTCTGGTGGCACACAAAACTCTCACAAGGGCTCTGAAGTGGTAATTGGTACAGTTTAGGATCCTGATTTGTTTGGGGTTCACTTTATGACCATGAAGTACTGATGTTAAAAGCTGTGAGATGTACAAACATAAATGCCTTTTTTCTGCTGTGTTACAGATAATACAGAGCACATGTTAATTTCTAATACATGGGTACATACTGTTATTTCATCAAATGTGTAAATACAGTTCTGCCCACTTCAATTTTTCTTTTCTATTCCATCACTTTTATTTTGAGAGAGCCCAAACACTGTTTTTGCAGAGAAATCTTGCTTCTAATTTCTATTATTCTATTATTGTTTACATGTGTGATTTTTTATAAACTAGCTGTAATATTAAGAAGCAATAGTGTACTAGTGCTGCACAGGAGGCAAGCTGGTCCTTCCCATTAGTGTGCTGAAGGCTTTTCTTCTTTGTGGGAGGTTTTCTAGTTTGTTTTTTGGTTGCTGTTGTGTTGTAGTAGATTTTGTGGTGGGGTTTTTTTGAGGGGAGAGGTATGGTGGTATTATGGGTTCTTATCCTTGTATCTATTCATTGCTCTAAATAAAATTCCAAAGCGTCTTTGCTCTTTCTTATCACTGCTGTTTTAGGAAATAATCTGGCTATCTGTTAGCTTACGGGCTGAATTTAATTTTTTGACATGTAAAACACCAGACTTTGCTTTGGAAGAGACCATCCATCTGCTTTTCAAGAAATGGATATGCCTTAGAAAACTTAAGTAGGTTTCCTTCCCTTCATCTGGTGTTGGCTGTTTTTACAGACCTTCAGACCAGAGCAATTTTGTTTAGACAGACGTGCTTTGGCAGATAATCAGAGGTAGAAAGGAAGTTTGATATTTTGCAGGAAATAGCTTTTATTTTTGTAACACAGCAACCTGGTGTCTTAGGCACCATGCTGTTTTTTTACTTAAAAGCCAAGTGCATTATGTGTAAACCCAGCTCTTAATTAATCAGAAATAAAAGCAATTTTTATTTAAATAATACAAAATTTGAATTGCTGAACTATTGTAGCGAGTCTAACTGCTACCGATTATATTGTTTGTATTATAGAGCTGCTATATTTCATGAGTTGGTCTACAAACAGACAAAAATACCATCTCAGAATCAAGAACTGATATATGAAGGTCGGCGCTTAGTACTAGAGCCTGGCAGATTGGCACAGCACTTCCCCAGAACAACAGAGGAGAATCCTATCTTTGTAGTAAGCAGGGAGGCTGTGAACATTGTTGGATTAATCTATGAAGAAGGTATATGAAAGTAATTTCCCTTTTCTCACAGCTATCTTTTGTAAATAGTTTGGGTTACTTAATGTAATTGTTTTATGTCTGTTATGTCTTAAAAATAGTGTTGGAAATTTTCTTGATATCTGAAGTTCTAAGTATGCAGTCCCATGTTTTTCAAAACTGCTGAGTATCCAGAACATTTTTATAGAAACAGTAGGTACTTGTAATGTTCCAAGTCCTTTGGACCTGAACATTTGTGTACTAAGATATAGTGGTGCTTATGGAGTTATGAACCTTTTCGAAGCATGACATTTTAAACAAGTGGAAAGAAACATTATAGGAAGTAACTCAAAGCTGGTTCTTTTGTTCCATTATTCACTAAGTGGAAAATCAAGTTTTACTTTTTTTTTTTTCTAATTTGTCATGAATGTGGTTAGCCTTTCAGTTAAGAGAAGAGGTCTTTACAAATGTGCATTTGCTCAGAAGATAAGGTAATACCATAACAGGAGGGGAAAAAATAAATTAAGGTTTTGAATTTCCATTTATCATTGTGAGGCTTTTAGAGGAGCCTATGCCAGGGCCCTTTTTAATAAATGATGAGCAGGAGGAGGACTAGGACATGGCTGCAGTTGAGAGGTCAGTGTTGCTTTTGTCAACTGACTGCTCTGGCCAGCTGGCACTCAAATAGAGGTGCTGAAGAGTTTGGATAGGTGAGCTGTTTGTGGAAGGATCAACAGGGCCTCTATATTGTGTCTGTATTGTGGCTTTCTGAAGTAGCCAGTGAGCATGAGAACAAAGGAGATTCAGGAGGTTGGTGAAGTGCTACCCTTAAGAGCCTCAATGAAAATAAGCAGCCGTGTGATGAAAAGGGAATGGTCTTCTATGTGGGCAAACATGGTACTGAAGAACAGAGAGAACCAGTTGTTTGTCTCAATGGAGAGACATTGCAAGTGGAGACCTGCATGAATTCTGTGCTGTGCAGGATATTCTGAAGTGAGTCTGGAAAAGGAAGGACAATTTGCTGAAGATACCAAGTTATTTAAAACAGTTAAGACAAAGACTGGTTTTAAAGGAGTGCATGAGAACCACATGATATTAAAAGGCATAAAAGCAGTGTACAGGGTAGGGAGGGATAACAATCTGAACTTTTGAAGTCCCTTCTCAAAAATAATAAAATACAGACGCTTGTTTTATGTTTCAGTTTTACTTCCTAAAGTACATCAACGTTACGATTTGGATGGGGATGCCAGTATGGCTAAAGTGAGTAATTACCATTTCAGATTATATACCTGTCTTGGTTAATGATACTGAAATGAAAGCTTCTTAATTTTCAAATAAATAATGTTAATAAAACTATTTTGGAATGCTAATGAGGATTCTGACTGATAGAAATATAATTATTAACAAAGGATCTAAAAATATATTAAAGCTGTACTTTTGTATGCAAAATATAGTTTGGATTTTTTTTTAAACCAAACCCAAAGTCCAGTCTTCTAAATTCAAAATGCTCTGTTACTGTATAATTCAGTGGTGGTGGGCAGTCCTGAAGTTAGAAGCTTCATAACTTACAATGGTTCAAAATTTAACATTAGAAAAATATCTCTTGCTTGATAGAGAGGAGTCTCTAGGACTCTGCAGATGGGTGGAATTTCTGTTGCCTCTTAGAAACTTTCAGAATCTGTGGGAGACAAGTAAAGGATGTTGCATTCTTTTGGTTATTTTTCTAAAACTACTGAATGTATGCGCAGCCAGGTTTGACATTGTGATGACCACTTATACATGTGAAATACTGACTGCTGAGGAGCCTTTTATTCAGACATGGTAGTCCTGAAAATGTATGCCACTTTAAATACCAGTAATCTTGAGAATTAAGAAACAGAATGCATCAGTTTATACTAATTATTTCAAATATTGTAAATTATAATATCTGAAACTTTGTTCTCAATTCTAAATAATACAGCAATCTTGTGAGTGGAGTTGGGTAAATTAAGAGAGTCTCTAGCCTTAGAATTAAAAAAGTATCCATTTTTGCAAGTTCCTTTTAATGTATGTGCTTGATTCCTAAAATATTGAAGAACTGTACTTGTAACTTTGACAGAAATAGTAAGTTGCATCATTTGTGTGAGATTTGTTTTCATCCCTAGCAGGTGCTTCAGCATAACTGGAAAACCCATGTTTAGCTCTGCCTTCATAATGGCTGTTTGGCTGTTGCCTGACTAAAGCTTAGGCCAAGTTGCACATTTTAAACGACCATCCTCATGTTGCTTTCTTTTATTAATCTGTGTTGCTTTGTTGTGATGTATTGTCTGGAAGCAATTGTTAAGAGAATGCCAGATCAGTACTTATGCTGTTTTTTTTCCTCCAGGCAGTGACAGGTATTGTGTGTTATGCCTGTAGAGTTGCCAGTTCTTTGCTACTTTACCAGGAGCTGATGCGAAAAGGAATTCGATGGCTAATGTAAGCAATTGACTGCATTTCATTATGCTTTTTTTTTTTTAAATTGAGATATGTCTTGATTATCAATACATAATTCTGTAATCTCTTGATATCTTGGGAGGTTTTGTTTATCCTTGAGTAGGGATAGGCTGAATTTCTCCCTTTTTCCTGTCATTAGGGAAACAAAAATTTTTTTTTTAATAATTAAAATTAAGGTGTTTGCAAATTTACTTTCTTCTGTGTATAATTTAAGTCTGACTTCTGGTAACATGCAGATGGAATTGAACAGCTTGCACAAGGTATTTTTATATGAGGATTATGTTAATGCATCTCTAACTGAAAACAATTCCCCCTGGCAATTATTGCTGCAGATATATTACTGTATTACTGATTGCTGGTAGGATGGCAGTTGTATACTTTTATTCATTACTTTATACATTATAGACTAATGCTTCACTTTTTTAGTGAAATAATCAAGGATGATTACAATGAAGTGGTTCATAAAAAGGCACAGATTGTCATCAGGCTGGATTTCTGCAACAGAAACATTGAGAAGGCTGAGAAAATGTGAGTAGAAGCATTACACCATACACATTGATTCTTCATTATCATTTTTAATGACAACAGTATTATAAGTTATGATTATTTGCAGTGGTTTTGCATATAAAAATTAAATTTGAGTCAGCATAGATTTTCTGATGGCACTGACTTAAGCAGATTTAGTCATATATGTTCCTTTAGTTAGAGTATTAATTTTGCTGCTTGACCTAATAAGAACAAGTAATTACTAATTAGTGGTAACTGTGTGTGTTCTTTTTCTCCTTCTCTGACTCAGCTCATTTGCTCTTACTGACTCTAGAAGCTATAGTAAAGCTTGGACAAAGAATCAAGTAGCTTTGCTTTCATTAGTGCTTTTGCCACTGCATTTGGTTGCATATGACTTCAAATACTGCTCCTTACACAGTTTTAAGACTGTAGCATTTTCTGTGTGGAAGGAATTTTCATGTTGAAATACAACACAAAGCAGCTGCAAAAAAACCCCACCCAACCAGGCCCAGCCCCCCTTGGTCCCTTCCCAGGAAGGTGTTATTCTTAGGCAGTGTGATAAGAACTTTAAATAGCACCTCTTCTTAGCATTCTCCTATGGGTGGTAATTTTCCTGTTCAACCTACTGCCAGTCTTCCCCAAATGCCCTCTTAGTCATGAGATTTTCTGAACTTCTCTCCAGGCTGCTCTGAAAATGCAGGTACCCACAAGGTGATTAACACACACATGTAGAACCACTGGGTTTGCAGAGTAGACTTAGTAATTAAACTTAAACCTGTTGGAGCTGCTGTGACTGTGCAAATTGAACACCTTGTTTGTAGTAATTGTGGATGCTCAAGGGTTTGACAGATTTGTTCTGTGTGTGTCAAACCTACCTTAAAACCCAGGTGTGTCTTTTTGTATTGGCTTCAAAAACACCACAAAACCACAACAGTGAAACAGTAAAGTTGGTAACTTGCAAGATAGCACCTGTGCAGCCTAGATACAAATCATCAGGGCAAGAGCCCAAACTCCTCTTCAATCCCATTTGTACTAGTTGGCAGGACTAGATCTTGTTCAGTCTGTGTTTGGTTCAGATAGTTTCTTCCTGCATTCTGCCAGAAGAAAGCCACTCAGAAGACACCACTATCAGTTCTGTTTTGTGACTCTGTGGTGCTCAACAGTACCTCAGCAGTAGTTTGAAAAAAAATGACATTCATTTACTAACTGGAGTAGTTCTTACGAGAACAGAAATTTTCTGTGTTGGCATGTGGTCTTTTGGCCTCTTACAAAGGGGCAGGATTTTCAGTTTGTTTGACTTTGCTAACTCCATAAAAGTCTTCTAAAGGACATGTCCTCTTTTTTGTCCTTCCTTTTCAAGGCTGTGCTTCAAAGCATGACAATACAAAGTCTTTATTTGAAAAGGTAAATAAAGCATTGAACTTGAGTGAAGCATGTATTTTTTGAAAGCAGTTGAGCTGTTAGTGATGGTGTTTTTAAAACTAAAATGTACATGAGACTCAAGAGAAAAAATATTGTCCTGAATAATTTATTTGGCACCTGAGCTATGGTCATATGGAACGTATCAGTATGAACAGATGGTCCTACTATCCCAGCCTTTAAGCATTTAACCCAGTAAGTTTTCTCAGAAAACATTTTGGTACCTTGAAGTATTAGCGTGTTAATGACTACTTTAAGTACCTTTAGTTTGATAAGATTAAAAAAATTACTTGATGAAAGGACATAGTCTTCCACTGCCTGTTAAGTGCAAGTAATAATACTAGAATAAAGAATTCAGGAATGGAAATTTCAAATTTATTTTAACAGTTCCAATATAGGAAAAAATCAAGGAATGTTTTTTTTAAATCTGTTTCCATTGTTAATGGCCACTTAAATTTGTCAGTTTCATGGTTGTTGCTTGACAGAGACTGTATTTCATATACAAGAAGAGGCAGTCACTTTTATGAGCTGGATTCAAGAAATACTTTGAGTGTATTCACTGCTTGTTTTTTTTTTTTTTTTAACTGCCTTCTTTTGCTGGACAGATATGAAAATTTGATGCAGATCAACTTGGAAGCATCAGAAGTAGATGAAATTTCAGAGATACACACAAAACTCCTGCGCGTAAGTGTCTGACAAAGTTACCCTGTCATTCTGGAAATGGTGTTGCTACAGAAAAAGCCAAATACACAGTAACACAGGCTTCTGTGAATAACAACTCTGAAATTTCGATGTAGTTTCTAGATTGCCAGTTGTTAAAATGTCCATACTAATGTGACTATCTTTCTGAAAACAGAGCAGATCCTTTTATATTAGCTCAGTGGAGTGAAAATGAGTTCCCGAAAATACATTCCTATTTTCTAAAATACTCAAGAATTATAACCCTGAAATATATTTTGCTTTGCCAATTTTTCTTTTCCAGTTTTTCCTTTCCTTAAAGAATTATTGACTACTTTGTTGGCTTTCTAAAATGTTACATTAACAAACACACTTCAAAGTGATCTGCTTTGAAATGTGCATCATGTTTCCAGACATTAAAGGAAAAATTGAAAATAACTTAGTACACTGGGAGCAGATAAAAAGTTCTCCATTCTAAAACCAAAAGATGATTAGTGCATTTTTATTTTGAAGGTTATATGAGCTGCAGAGAAAGGAAGGTATGAATCATGTGGATAGTTATTATATGAATTCTTAATAAACCAGAAGAATAAGGGTAGAAGTAAATAAGGGATTTATGAAAGGGTGAAAGTTATTGTTGAAAGAAAGTAAATTTTAACTAACAGAAATGCCAGCATCAAATATTATTCTTTCTTTAATAATACCTTGCTTTATCTGCTTCTAGCTAAGCCTAGGCAGATAATTGGACATATTTCTTTAATGGAGAACAGTGAAACAAACAGGTTTGTAGTATTAATGTGCTCAAGTAATTATCAAGTAATGAGCTCAAGTAGTAATTTTTCACTTTACCTAGTGATAAGATTGAACCTTCTTGTTCTTACATAGCTCTCCAGCTCTCAGGGCACCATAGAAACTAGTCTGCAAGATATCAAAGCCAAACTTTCTCCTGGTGGTTTACTGGCTGACACCTGGGCCAATCAGGAAGGCATGCATCCAAAAGACAGAAAGTGAGTAACTACTTACTGTTCTAATATGTATTGAATTCTGCATTGAGTTGGAGTTCACAAAGCTCATTAATAGGTACTGAGTTTATGTATAAAACATCTAATTTTCTTCCTTTTGTCACTCCAGTCCAGAAAGGCTGCAGGCCCTGCTGTCTTCCATCACAGACATCTACTATCAGTTCAAAAAAGACAAAGCAGAACGAAGTAAGTCATTTATTTGATTCACTTTTAACATAAAATGTAATGTAAAGGACAGGTCAGTCTTAGTTTGACTAGGGTATTAGTGGTAGGTATGGACCATTAGCCACTGTGCATATGTCTGTAGGTCCTTAGTGTGATACCATGCTAAAGCCCTTATGATGGAAACACCCTATTAATACCATAAATTGGAGTTGCAAGACTAGAGAGGAGAAAAAAAGTGTATGACCATTTTGACCTGTAAAAAGAAGGAAACTGTGTTAGAAATGGGTAAACTTAGTAGAGTTTTGCATCAATACATCTAGCAGAGTTAGATTGGTAATGTTTGTCATCTGCTCTGATCCTAGGGCTTCCTTATAATGAAGAACAAATACACAAGTTTGACAAGTAAGTTTTGAAGTTGCCTTTGGGAGCTACCATGATTGCTTTCAGGTTCTCCAGATGCTCTTGCCAATAACCCATTATATTAATTTTATTGAAAATCATGACTTCTTTAGGATTGATTTGTAAAAATTTTATTTTAAATTTCTTAATACATGGGGGTACTAGCGTATGGTAATGAGGTGCTTTCTGGCTGTAGAGTGTTTTCACTGATAGGCCTTCTAAAAGGACAATACCTGACTGTTATATGGGCATAACTGTTTTGTAGGAAGTTCACCTCTTCCCTGTTTTTTTTCAGGCAGGAAAAAGCCCTGAGTAAGATCAAAATGACTTTGTAGCTAAGGTGGAGATAATTTTCTACATATAAGTAAAATATGGACTAGCTGAATGAAATTCTAGAATGATTTAATCTTAAAGGAAATATAACATACAAAATTACTTTTAATTCCATTTTCCATGCTTGTTTGTCACTCATGCAGGGTGTTCACATTAAGGTATGTTTGTAACTTGGGTCTCTAAACTCCCATAGTCTCCACTGATTTTCTACTGCTGTACTTGTCTCAGGATTTATTCACTTCCTCATATGCAGATGGCTAATGCCATTTAAGTTGCCCTAAAATATCTGGGACGTGCTCTGAGACTGGGAGGTAGGACAAAGTCAAATGGGAAACCTGTCAAATGGACAGGTCAGAAGCAGGGCAGGATATCTTTGCTGGAGAAGAGAAGGTTACATGGAATCCTCCTAGTGGCCATCCAGTAGCTGAAGGGGGGGCTACAGGGAAGCCAGAGAGTGACTCTTCATCAGGAGCTGCAGTGATAGGACAAGGAATAATGGCTTCAGGCTGAAAGAGGTGAAATTTAGGTTGCATACATTGAAGAAGTTCTCTGTGAAGGAGATGAGACACTGGAACAGATTGCCCAGAGAAGTTGTAGCTGCCCCATCCCTAGCAGTGCTCTGTGACATGGGGGTTGGAACTAGGTTACTTTTATGGTCCCTTCCAACCCAAACCATTATAAGATTCTATCTCAAATGATGCTAGATGCTTATGCTTAAGTAAATAAATTATTCTCCTAGTAGCTGGTCAGTTGCATGGTTCCCTAGACTTTGCTCAATGTTGCATGAATTTAGACACCACTTACATAATTTTCTAAAAAATCTTGCTCTTCCTACCTGAATGTGGCTTCACTGACAATTACAGATAGAAAGCTGTCATGCAAAGGGCACAACTTTGCCACTTGATTTTCCCATTGTGAAAGCTAAATTGGATAACTGCCAAGCAGAGGAGAGGGTTTTCTACTACTAAAACCATGTTAATGGTTTTAGTAGTAGAAAATTTGAAGTTTATCATACACTAAGGCAAGGGCCTTAGTGTATGATAAACTTCAAATAAGTATGCTTCATTTTCATGGTTTGAATACTGGATTGTACAGGTTTGACATCCTTAGTCCATCTTTTTTATACTTGATTCACCCCACAGGGAAATGGCAGTGGCTTTTGTTAAAGACTGTGTGCTATTATCAGCAGAGGCTGGCCTTTGTAATATTTATCTCTAGGCAGATAAGGGAGCAGCACTCTATTTGAATTTTATTTTTCTGGTTGAATGATAGGTATGCATTCCTGATGACAGTCCAGCTACACTCTAGCTACAATTTAATTGACAGTATTTATTATGCAAGACTTAATGAATACCTGAACTAGGTGTTGATTTGTAGTGTTCTAGTATCCCTTACACTTAACTGGTGCAATGCATAGCATGGTGAGGCAATTACACTGGGACTACTGTCTGCCACACTAACAAGAATTAGGCTTTGTTTTCCTTTATCTTCCTTTTCTGCATGTTTCTTTTTCCTCTTGACGTAAAATTATGCTGACATAAAACTCCTGTTCTTTTTCTTGCATGTATGTTACTCAGTGCAAAGGATTATTCATATGTGCTAGAAGTTCCAAGTATCTGCAGTAGGCAAATATGAAATAATTAGGACTTTTGTCCTTTCCATGTAGAATTCTGAATATACCAGCTGACTCAAATAAGACATTTGACCATTTATTCATATACAAGTATGCATACAAATACAAACTAAGTGCTTCAAATAATTTTCTTCCTCCCTGCTAGGGTATATTTTTGAAACATAAATTGTCATTTCCTGTAGAATGTTGAATTCTAACACATTACAACAGCCTGAATAAAGGTGGCTGCACAGATTTTAAGTCCACAAACCTTTCTCCAAATTTCAGAAAGTTAGAGGAGTGGGGTTTTGAAAGCATTATGACACTGGTTTGGTTGTTTCTGTGTTGCAGGCAGAAGCTGTATTTGCATGCTACAAAAGCCATAGCTCTTTTCAAAGATGAATGTGTCAGCAAGTATGAGACATTTTTGGACAAAGCTGAGGACTGGACAAGGCAAGCTGTTGATTTCTTTAATATTTGGTAGTGTTCATCACAGCAGTTTTATATAAGCAGCTCTTAAAAGAAAACTCGTTCTCTTTTAGGAAAATGCTTCACACAAGGAAGCAATTACTGGCTCTCACCAACCAGTGTTTTGGTATTGAAGAAGAGGTGTCCAAATACCAGGATTATATAAATGAGGTAGAATGCTTCAAAATTATGGGTAGCATTTGCATAGTTAAAAGACTTCCACGTATTTTCTTGTCAATAGTGTTGCTAAGAGTGAGTCTTACATTAATGCAGTTGTATTTAAATACTGGCCTTTGTGGTCTGCAGGAGCTTCATTGCCATGTCAGTGTGGACTACACACTGAATGCTGTTATTTTTGAATAATTGAATGATGTGATTTTGTGAATTGTAACTTGATTTTGGAATTTGGTGGGGCTAATTTGGTTTGGGGTGGTGGGGTTTTTTTGTCTGCATGGGGGTTTTTTGGTGAAGTTTGTGGGTTTGGACAATTTGGGTTTGGTTTTTTTGGTTTGTTTTTTTTCTTTTTTTTTTTTTGCTAATGTTAGCATTTCCCCCTCAAAAAAGAAAATCAGTGCAAATGGATATGGGTTCATTGAGAAATGTTCTGTGCAACTGTTACCATAATATTTTCCGAGGATATAGAGGATTATCCTAATTCTCTTAGGAAGTATAAAAATGCTGCTTCCATAGTCAAGATGAAGGGATACATACTTAAGGATGTTAAACTAATGATCTGGACAGTAACTCTGCAGGATGCAAACTTATCAGAATTACCTCAAAATTGAGAGAATAAGACCATTTTCATGTAGTAAAATTATTCTTTTTTTAGAAAGGAAAATAAATGAACAAAAAGCCCTTGCTAAGTGTAAAATCAGTATAGGAATGGTGGACAGAAGCATTTTACTTGTTATTTGTATTTCAGTTGCACCACCAATCCATTGATTAGGATCCTGTTGCCCTAGGATATCTACAGACATAACAAATAGATATTTCTTCCTTTCCAGAGTTTATTATGAAAGTATTAGATAAGAAGATGGAACAAACCAGGAAATTATTGGTCATGTCCATACAAAACTTGCTGTGATGATCTCATCTTGGAGCATATCAGCCTCCTTAGTACTGTAATGAGTTTATGAGTTATCACAGCAACAGAGAATTTAAAACAGGATTTTAAGGTGGGCTTCAAGATAGACATGACATCTTCTATTGTAACTTAGATTTCCTTTTTATCTATTACAGTTACAAGATGCCCTCCCACAGAAAATGTTTGCAGCTTCCAGTGGGATGAAACATACGATGAACACAGTCTATCCAAGCTCAAACACATTAGTAGAAATGACTCTTGGGTGAGAATTTTGTAATGGGATTGATGTAATACTGTGTGCTTGCTATACAGGGAAATTGAAAAAAAATTAAATAGCTTAGTGATTGTTGTAAATAAACAATGTACCTGTCCCTTATTTTGTATGTAATGGCAAGTTGCTGAAAACTGTGGTGGTGAGTGATCAGAGCAGGTGTCTCTCCCAATAAAAACTTTAATCTTTCTTTTGCTTCTGGTTACTACAGGATGAAGAAACTAAAGGAGGAAATGGAAGGTGTTGTTAAAGAGCTGGCTGAAAACAATCACATTTTAGAAAGGCAAGCAATTGTTTTCCCTTTTGGGCCTGAAACTAGGGGCAGGCTTAAATTGGTACATTTTATAGATCCAGAATCTAAACTAAGGAAACAATTCTTTAATGTCTCTAACTGTAAATATATTTTGAGTTGTTCAAATGAGGCATATCAGAAAAATAATTACTTGAAACCTTGGAACATGGCTGTGTCAGAATGATCTTACAGCAATTTTTTGGGCATTTTTGTTTCATGTTACTTTGGTTTAGCTATAAATACTAAAATATAATAATATAATACGATATAAAATATAAATATAATAACAATTCCTGTCACACAGACGGATCAATTCTGAATTTAAACACAATACTGTTGCAGCAATGCAGTGGTGCCTTTTAATTCCTCCCTTTTAGATGCTATTTTTGACAGCTGTGGAATTACACCAATCTGAATTAATGATTTTGCAGTTTTCAGATTGCTTAAGTAAAGTGAAGAGGCAAACATGTTTCTTACAATCCTGAGAGGGTATTGTCATTATCACATACAGAGTGATTTTGATTTTTTTTTCCTATGAAGATGAGAAAATATATAAAAATAAGTATCTCCTGAAAGTTCTAGCGTAAATTGCTGGTAGAGTGGAGTCTATCTTCAAGCTGAATTAGTTTTGTTTGTTCCCCACCCCAGTCCCACACTTGCAGCAAAGCTTCCTGTCTTTCATCTTCTTTGCAGATACAAAAGTTAGGTACAACTGCCTCTGTTGTCATGTAGCAAGGGAAAGGAAAACCCCATAAACAAATTAAAGATTGATTCTATAGTCTAGTCAACCACCTAAAAATAATACTGTTTTTATGGTTTAGATTTGGTGCCTTGACTATGGATGGTGGCCTGCGGAACGTGGACTGTATCTAGCTTCCAAAGGACCCGAAGAGGACTTGTAAATTTTTTCAAAGGGATAAAAAATACTGTTGGGACAGTTGAAAGCAGATAATAAACCTGTATCCAGGATTTTTTTTTTCCTTCAGCAACTGTAATATTAAAGAAAATGTAAATATGTATGATATGTAAATACAAAAGAAATATATATCTTTTCTTGGTCACTTTTAGGATAGAATAACTTCTGGCAGGGAATTGAGCCCCTTGGAGGATCTCTGAGGAGTCCTAAAGGGAAAAGTATTGTTGATGAAACTGACATTTGTCTGCTTTGAATATTGCCCTTTTTTTTCAGAATGCAATTTAGTCTTCATTGCAAGAGGACTTGCAGTACTCTAAAAGACTGTTGTATAAAGGGTATTTTGGATTTCCTTCAACAACCACTGTTATGTAGGAGTCTAGCTGGATGACTTTGATCATCACAGAACATGGTGAATGTTTTAAATGAGATGTTTTTAAATGAGTGTGAATAGGGACTAAGAGTGCACATAGGACAGAACAGAAATGCATTTCTCTTTCCTTCACATTCAAATTGTTAGTTCTCTTCTACTTGAGAAAGCAAATTCACAATATTTTTTTAAGTTCTCTAAATATTTGGTGCCGTGTTGTCTGTAATCATTTGACTGCTTAGTATATGGAAGTTTTGCACTCCAGCTTGTCAGAATGAATGTAAAAATTCATTTTTTGGAGTACAGCATTTTCAGACTTTCCCTGAAATCTTGTTGCTCACCACAACAGTGGGTACTTAAAACAGCTTCTTCTTAATCTTACTTGCAGGTATAATTTTTTAAAAAGGTTAGAAATTTGGTATGAGAAGAGTTTATGGACAGTCAGTAGACTGGATAGTATCATACCTCAGTAGTAACTGAATAGTGGAAAATAAGATACCAGTCTAGATTTGAAAAGGGACCACTCACACTGTTGCCTTACAACTTAGGTACCAAACTTTGATGGAAAATTTAATAAGACTGTATATTTATTTTCCAGCATCAATGGTTACTACTTTCAGTGCTACATGATTGGGATGCAGAGATGCAAAGTGAAACATTCTGCTCCAAAATACATGGAGAAAGAGAATAGGAAAACAAAAAATTCTGGAAATATCCCTTTGTTTGGATACTACAGATGTATGTACTTGTTTCAACTATTACAGAACTCATTCCTTCCTTGTGGAAACCTGGCCATAGATGTTCAGTGGTGTCCAATAACATTTCTCATTGCTGCATTACACCTGTAAGAGCTGGACCAACTATATTTAGAATTTTCCATAATTACTGGTGGAACATTTAGGTGTAAACTAAACAACATCGACCAGTGATAGCATCTGGCAGTTTTGTGATGCTTTTTCCCTGCTTATCTGTCCAGGTCAGAACACAAAACATTTTAATTTCCTTTTTAGAAAGTATTTGGAGAGAAACTTAGGAAATTTATAAATGAGTGTTTCATTTTAAAAGAAAAGGAAATTCTCTTGCCTTGATGTCCAAGACCTGCATTCCAGTGTTCTTGGTGAGAATCAAAAAAGGGAATTCAAACATTTTTACACTCATGTGAGCAGCTTCTGTCTTTGTCACCCAAAAAATCTAGCTATGCAAAAGGAGTGCAACAGTTTGTCACACATCTTTCTTTGGCATTCTTAACAGTTTTAAAATACTGGAATGATGTCTAACTGGAATGTTTTAATGCCTGCTTGTACATTTTTTCATTCACATCCACAGTCTCACTGAGTATCAGTAAATGACATGAATAAATGTTAAAAGAATTGGGCTCTCTAGATGTGCGTAAACTGTATTTCATTTCCAGCATTATAACACTTTGTTGTTTCAAAGTTCTTAATCTTGAAAGAAATCAAGTGCTAAGTGGAATATATAATTTTCAACTTCCTTATACTGAAGCAGTCTGAAAAAGAAAGTTAATTGTAGTAAAAGTATAGTCTGTATGTTGAGATATGTGCAGCATTGTTTTACATGTTTGAAAATTTTTTGTTATATTTTATGTTCATTTTAAACATTGCTGGCTTTAGTCTTGCTGAATACATCAGTAATCTTAATCATGTTAAAATTTCTTTTTTTAAAGCAATTTTAACAAAACTGTAGCTAAGGAACTTGAAGTAATCAGTTCATAAGCTTCTGATTACGTTATTATGAAGCAAATAATTTTTCAAGTCAAAGCATAGTGTTGGTACCATCAACTTTTTGCTCAAACTAAGTGTCCTGATGCTATGAATCTTGCTATCCGTTTGCCAAAATAAGTAATAGAAAGTAATATATGGTTCTTCTTCCTGAAGCTGGTTTACTGGTTTGGGGGGTTTAGCTGAATATATTAGTTATCTGTTACTTGAACAAACCTGTCTTCATATGAATTGTGAAAATGCATGAGTGAACAGCTTAATGACATAAATACATCATCAACCACTTATTGTAGAGTGTGTACTTCTGCCTTTTCATAATTTAATTTTCTGTTAATTTCAGGATTTCCCTATGAGATTTATTTTCTTGTAAGCACAATAGAGAGCCTGAAACATGAAGTTGCAAATTGCAGCTCAGTTTGCATTATCCAGCTGTTCAGAAAATGTGCCCTGCACAACAGAATTGCTAGCATGGTAGAACCACTAATTCTTCTAATTTTTTCAACTACTTGGTTGACACGTGTTCTGAGCAATGTTAATTCTTTTAATGGTGGTAAAATTCCTAGTGTCTGCTCACTGGTAGAACTCAATCAGTTCTGATGTAGTCAATCACTGTAGAAGTGGTACAGTTGTAGAACAGTTCTGGATAGTCCTGAGCAGAACTGGGAAAAAGGGGAGTTGTTGGCTGAAAGAAGGGAGTACTGGGAGAAGGGGGAAATAAAAATCTTTGGTAATGTACAAGCTGTTCCAGAAGATCAGCATTCGCTGTGTCTGTGGTGAAAGGGCTATAGATTATTAATATAAACTGTAGTTGAAACAAAAAAACCCAGCCTACAACTCTGGAGAAACCTTTCTAATGGTGAAGAGAGGCAAGTGCCAGAACAGATTGTTCTGGGAACAGCAATACTGTTTGAAGAAGGTTTATAGGAACAGGTTAACTGGTGGGAGCTCTTGTGACTGATTCTGCCATTGGCAAGACTTCACGACCTTCTATTTTTCTGTGCCCTAAATAGCTTTATTTTTTCATCAATCACCAAAAAAAAAAAAAAAAAAAAAAAAAAGTGGTAGGGGTAGTATCCCTCAGTGGAATTTGCTGTTTTGTCACTGGTACTAGCTCAGGAAGCAGTAATTGCAGGTGCACATCTTTCGGAGAACTTTGCTGCCTGTGGGCAAGTGAGGCCGGCAGCGGCCGGCTGAGCTGCTGGCGTGCTGCAGACGGGCACGGCGCAGTTCAACGTTGTGCTCCTGGGGCTCGCACAAGCGTAGAATGCAAGCTCTGACTACCCCGGCCGCCACAGCGTCCCCATCCCGGTGTGTTCTGGCAGCTCTGCCCAGCCCTGGGAAGTATTTCCCCCAGTAGCTGCTTTGGGGAACTGAGGCAGATCGTTTTAACGGGAACCGATTGAAGCGCGTCACCAGCTCTTGTCAGCTCCCCCTGTGCCAGGGGCTGCCGCGGCACCCGGAGCGCGGTTATGCCGAACGATGCGGGGTTCGTGCCTGCCGGGCGCGGGGCGGCGGGCCGGCGGCAGGACTCGGGAGGTCGGGGGGAGGACGCGGAGCGGTGCAGCGCCTCCTTCGCTCCCGCCGCCTCTCCGCTCCCCTCGCCCGCGGGTGCCGTGTGCGTGAGGCGGGCAGAGGCGGCCGCGGCCGGCGCGCCCCGCTCCGCATGGCGGCGGCCGCCCGGGACCGGCGGGAGAAGCCTCGTGATCTCATCTTGG